TACAGATACACGGAAAAGTACATTGGAAAGCCCTATTTCTAATATCTTCTTCCGTGCATCTGTACCATCTGCGCCTACGTAACTCGACAAATCTGTATGGACCTCAGAACCTAAGCAATGAATTTCGTTTCAATCAGGCTAGTCATCCAACCTGAGCCATTCCGCCAGATGTCTCACAACCATGAGATGCCGCATTGTTGCGGACCATTAGACAGTAGTCGCACACTCTTCAAATCGTGTTTCACTAGATTTCGCTACGAATCAAAGTAGAATACGCATTTATTTCAATAAATTATACATGAAATTTAAATAAAAACCAGTGCCTCATTCCGCTTGGAACCAGTGTCCTTCTTTGGAAGACACAACACCTAGTTTAATAAATACTACAGACACTTACAAAAATGAACTGTCTAAATAAACATGCATAAGACGCATCAAAAACGAAAAGTTGGGTTTATTAACAAAATATTTGTTTCGGCTAACTTCATTTACCTTAAGCATTATGATTAGAAAGTTTCTGCAGCACTCTCCTGCGGTTTAAACCATGCCAGTAACTGCTAAAATATTTTCATTATAGAAATTTAGTAGCACTTAACTTGACAAGTACATGATCAAGAGAGTGAATAGGAAGATGCAAAAGTAGGGCGAGTCGATTGACGAACAAATCGGCACTATGCCTCTTACTTCATTGCGCAGATGTAAGAGGGACTGCACGTGGAGCAGTTTTGGAGAGCTTCGCAACGCATGCAAACTTTAAACCTTACCGATTATAATCAAAGACATCCCAAATATTTGAATGCCAGTGCCGACCATCGAAACGAACAGCTTAGGCCAATAGGGAGGTCGAAAAACGTCGCCATGTATCAGCTTCCATCCGGTTTCTTCGAGAACTTCGTCCTAAATAAAAAGCTGATGCTCGCTATGAATAAATCAGCAGATTCAAAAAGGAGCGAAAAGAAACTTAAGCAAATGAGGCAGCAAGGATACTTTCAACGTTCTTACCGACTCATCGAGCTTGTTGTAATTGGCAATGTCACGACGAACAATCCTTATTATCACAAGACCAATGAAACCTAAAGAACATGAAAGGTATGCCGAATGATTAAGCACAGAGAAGCGTACACAAGAAAAACAGCACAAGGCCAAATGAGTTGATGATGTTAAACCAATGAATGCCGGAATTTGTCATTTTCAGGTAATGATCCCATCGATTAGACCACTGCACGTCACTGAGTTTCCATTCGACGCTGTACGACCAGATAATTTTATTACTGTCTAAAAACAAAGCTCAAAGGCATCGGACGCAACAAACGTTCACAAACGGTTTAAAAATAGATATATTGTCGAGATCACATTCGACATATTCGACGTTGACCAAAACTGTCATTCTAAAGGAATAGCGGGTCCAGTGATAAGATTATGGCAATTAAACAGGCTGCCACGTATGAAAAATGGGCAGACTGTAATAATCGAACGAACCCATACGCTTAAGGTTAGAACGCGACTGCTGTCAATCACAGCGAAAGACGAAGCCGACTGATGAACTTCGTTAACATTACCATGGTGCAGTCACGAACGGAATGCATCTGTATGATCAATACTCTGATATGCGATACCGCATCAGAAGCAATTTCGATACTGGAATCAGCTGTCTTCAAGGCCAGTGACAAGCGCCAGCCATTTCATTGCGTGAAGGTAGTGTCGGAAAAAGACCGACTACGATTTAAAGAAAAATATGTAGGAAGAGAAAGAAAAGACGAGTGTCTCGCTTGGTAAGAAGTGCCACTTAACACACGGAACCAAGTCTGATGAAACTATGTTTAAATAACGAAACTACTATCGACCGGCGAATTGGAGTAGCCAGTGGCGTTCTGCGTGAATTACTCGAATCATTCAATTGAACCCACTGTGACTAAAGCAGAGCTCAGTCTGTAAACTAAGCTCTCGGTGTTCAAGTCGATCTTTATCCCCATACTTACCCACGGTCACGAGTCGTGGACCATCACTGAAAAACTTCGAAACCGGGTACAAGCTGCTGAAATGGGCTTTCTTAGACGAGTCG